CCCCCCCCGGCAACACTCAATATTATCAAACTTAAAACTTAAATTTTGGTTAATCTGATGGGTGAAAAATGAAAGTAGATTTTAACATGTGTTTCTCTGATAAGTGGTAAGATTAAGCGTCTATTTTTATTGGTCATTTGTATTTCCTCTCCTATAAATTGCCTATTTGTGTCCTTTACCCATTTTTCAATTTGGGTACTCTTTTTATATTGATTTATGAATATTTAAAAACATAGTTTGTATACTGTATAAGTATTTTCTCCCACTTTATTGCTAGTCTGTTAATTTTGTTTATGGCGTTTGTGTGTGTGTGTGTGTTTGATAGTAGAGGTTATAAACTTACCAGTTTCATTTAGTTTTTTTCCTTCATGGCTTTTGCTTATTTCCACATATATATGAGCCTGCTTCTGAATTCTGTTCCATTTATCTGTTAATTTTACACTTTAAATTACTATAGTTCTAAAATATATTTTGATACAAGCAAATCTCCCCTGTTCTTTCGGTGCTTTTTCTTGACTATTTTGCACCTTCTGTAAGAATTTAATCATTAGCTTGTCATATTTCATGAAAAATCTCACTGGGATTTACTTTGGAATACTGTGTTCATTTATAGATTAATTGGCGGAGATTTCGCCGCTGATTTTTAGTGTGAGCTTAGGTTGCCTTTTTAAAAGGCTGATTGTTCTTAGCCCGGCTAGCATGGCTCAGTGGTTGAGCATCAACCATTATCCAGGAGATTGCAGTTCGATTCCTGGTCAGGGCACACGAACAGACCAAAAAAGATGAGTGGTGCAGGGTGGGTGGGCCCCACAATCACCCCACAATTTCACGAAGTGATCAAGAGCCTAGATTTCTTCAGTTTTGTTGCTCTGCCATCCTAAGGTGATGGTATTGGTTTTATAATCGTTATAAGCCAGCTCACTAGGATCACATTCCTGGTTCAACCAGGGTATGTGGGTGGCCCAGTTTTAAAGGGAAAACCCCTGTTTCCATTAACAAGTACTTAGTTGCCTGGCCCCCTCCAGCTGCAGTGTCTCTTGCTGGGCACTCATGTCCCCAGCCAAAACAGTGGACAGTTAGCAGCCTGCATTTATCAGCTGAGGTTTAAAATATATAATTTTTATTGATTTTTTCCCCCCGCATTATAAAAGCCATACCCATTTATTGTAGAAAAATTAGCATATGTAGGTAAAAAGAAAACTAAATTTATAAAACTACCACTAAGAGAGAAGAGTTACTTGGGAACTCTCCTGATCCCTTTTTTAATTTTCAGTGACCTAATTCTAGCATGCAGAAATGTACAGAGCATAAAATGAGTATTCATGCACCGACCACCCACATTGATCACATTTGCCATTTTGCCTCATCGGCTTCAGATCTTGTCTAAGTAATAAAACTGATGAAAGTTTGAGCCCTGTGTACCTTTCCCTGCTTACCATTCCTCTCTCTTCCTCCCAAAGATGATTATCTTGATCTTAATGTTTATCATTCCATATGGTGTTTATAACAACATATGTTGCCAGAAAAGGGAGATCATATGGTTTTGCAGAATGCTTTTGAATTTTATATAAAATGATAGCATTTGACAGTCTGTTTTCTGATCTACATTGTTTTTGGTGATGAGCGTGATTAGCTCCATCATTTGAATAGTACCATGTGGTCATTCTGCTGTTGGACGTTTAGGGTTTTTCTCAGGATCCCACTGTTACAAAGTTCACGTATTTGTCTGTTTATGCTCATGTGCAGGCATTTCTCTTGTGTTCATACAAAGAAATAGAGTTGTCGTAAGCTATGTTGATCTGCAGCTATTCTAGATAATGCGGACTTGCTCTTCCAATGATTGTGCCAATTAAACTCTCAAAAGCAATATACAAGAGTTCCTGTGTTCCACAGCCTTACTCACAGATTCTGTAATTTTACCAATTCAGTGGGTATAAAACAGAACCTCATCTGTGGTTGAATTTCTGTTTCCTTAATAACCAGTGAGGACAAGCATCTTTTCATGTTACTGGCCTCCTATGAATGGCATGTTTTGTATTCTTGATCCATCCTGTTGGGCTCTTTCGTGACTTGTAAGAGCGCTTTATCTGGATACTACAGTTTTTGGTCTTGTTCATCACCAATAACTGGTGTCACACTTCGGGTTGTCTTTTCACTTTGTTTATAATGTCTTTTATTGTTTAGAAGTTTTTACTTTTAATTTAAATGGATTAAATTTTCATGCTTTGTGTTTTCCATCTCTTCCTGAATAAGTTTTCCTCAGCCCTGAGGATATAAAGATATCTTCTGTATTTTAAAATGTGCCTTGCATTTAGGTCTCAGCATGAAATTTATTTTTGGTATGAGGTAGAAGTTCAGTATTACTTTGTTTTTGTATAGTGATTACATATTTGTTCTACTACCATTCATAGACTAGTTATTTAAGTCTTGATATCTGGGTGAGTGAAGTTCCCTTCTCCCCCTGATTTTTCAAAATCGTTGTGGCTAGTTTGGTACTTTGCTTTTCCATATGAATTTTTATTTTTAAGGTTTTGAATATTAACATTTACATGGTTCAAAATTCAAAAGGTACAAAGGCTTATGTAAAAACAAGTCCCATTCTGTCCCCAGCCACCATGGACTCCAACTTTGATCCCTAGAGGCAAAACAGTGTTAGCATGTTTGTGAGTACTATGTATATCCAAGTAAATTAAATACAAATTCATGAATTCTCCCCTGCCCAATATACTCCACAGCTTTTTTCACTCTAAAAGTTTTTTGGGTAATCTTTCTATAGTCAATACATAAGAACGTCATTGGATTTTTTTTCTTTGTATTAGGTGAAAATCACATACAATTAACCATTTTAAAGTACAGTTCAGTGGCATTTAGTGCATTCGCAGTATCGTACAACTACCGCCTCTATTAAAACTTTTGCACCCCAGAAGAACACCCATAACCCATTAAGAAAGCCACTTCCCACTCCCCCCCCCTCATTTCCCCCTCTCCCCATCCCTTGGCAACCACTGATCTGCCTGTGGATTTGCCTTTTCTGGATAGTTCACTCAGAAGGGTTCACAGTGTGAAGCGCTGTCCTTCCACTTGGCGTGATGTTTGCAGGGTAATCCAGGCTACAGCGGTACCGGCCCTTCATCGCTCAGGGCTGAATGC